CTGTGGCCCGCCCTCCCCCCCGCTGCCGCCGCTGCACACGCGAGGCAGCAAGCGGTCCAGGCCGGCCTGGACCCCGGCCCCAGCGCACCGCCGCTCTCCAGACCTCGAACCCGGACCCGGAACTGGATGCTAGCGAACGCCCGCGGCCCAGAGCCAGCCCCGCCCACCCGCGCGCCCTCCCACCTCGCACTGGCGCAGCCTAAACACGTCATTTCCTGTTGACAGAGGAAAAGGGAAGTTAGTGGTGTGTACTGTTCTGGCCGGCGTGGTGCGGTGATGCAGGTTCCGCAGCTGCTTGTGCTTTTCGGCAGCCAGACTGGCACAGCCCAGGATGAAGCGGAGAGGCTGGGTCGCGAGGCCCGGCGCCGGCGGCTAGGTTGCCGCGTGCAGGCGCTGGACTCTTATGCGGTGGTGAGGCTCGGGTGATACGGCGGAGACCCTCCCCCGAACCTCGCGTCCTCGAACGGAGGGCGTTTGAGTGCTGCCCTACGGCCCAGGCAGATTTAGGGGAAAGGGGGCTTGGCACGAGGCTGAGGCCTGAAAAAGAGTAGGCCTGGTAGCCACTGGGAACAAGTCTTCAAACACTTTACTCTTGTTACCCTATCTGAATGGGGTGGGTTGGGAGCGATGCAGGGAGGGGACTGACCAGGGCTGTCAGTCCCTTACGCATACCCGTGTCTTGTCCTTGAGGCGAATCTCATTAGGGAGCCCCTGGTGGTATTTGTTTGTGCGACCACAGGCCAAGGAGACCCTCCTGACAACATGAAGGTAAGACTAGCCTTATTTGTACCCTCACCCCTTTTTCATTGCTGTGAGAGCCCCTGGGTGCACAGGAAATAGCTGGCCTTCAGTGCATGTTGTATATGAGAGGTAGCTTTGAGGGATATTCTTTGAGTGGATCTGGGAGAGAAATAGCTCTTAATAGACACTCAGTAGCCTTGATTTCTATTGTTTAGCCATTTTGTTTGTTCTCCCAGACCTACATGGGAATCTAGTCTGAGTCACGTGCTGAAGTTTAACGTTTTTAACATTCAGAAAACATTCTTTAATTTTTTTTTCTCAAGCATATATATTCCTGGCACCATCTGGGACACAGCAGCCACGTTTCTCCTTCATGGAGCGCAGTGGTGAACACAGCAGGATTAATGGCCAGTTACCAGGAAAATACCAGATGCCAGATGTTCTGGGGGGGGGTGGTCATGGAATAAGACACAGCTGTTTGGAAGAAAGGAGCACACCTTTAATCATAGCACTTGAGAGGCAGAGGGAACTCTGTGAGTTCTAGACGAGCCTGGTCTGTGTAGTGATGTCCATGTTAGCCTGACTACATAGTAAGATCCTGTCTCCAAAATAAATAAAAGCCAGGGGCAGGTGGTGGTAAGAAGCAAACTGAGTGAAGGACAGGAAGTTGAAGATTCCCCAGCCACAGACTGTGTTGGCAGAAAGAGGGAAGGAAGAAAGTTTCATTCAGAAGATCTGGGTGGCACAGTGAAACACCTGGGCTTCAGATGAAAGCTACAGAAACTATGGAAGTGACACAGTAGCCACCACAGTGTAGCAAAATCACCATCTGTCTGAAGGTGGCAGGAGTAATGCCAGGGAATGCACCACCACAAGTAAAAGGTGTTGATGTGGTCTGAGGTGGGTGGTGGCACAAGGCAGAATAAAACAGGCACATTCTAGAGAGGCCAGAAAGATAGAGTCATGAGAGGAATCTAGAATACGAGGAAGGACTGAATCACAACACAGCAAACAGGATACACTGTAGTTCCACCTGTGGAGTGAGTGGAATCTGGTTGTGCAGGGGCCAGGAGATAACCCAGGAACTACAGTTAGCTGTGTAGTACTAGAAGGGTCCTAGCATGAGAGTCACTGTTAAAGCAACCAAAATAAAATCATGAAAAAACAAAGCCCCTGTCTACTCCAGGACTGCCATCTAGCATGGTCATGGTCAGACAGGAGGAGTTTCCCCTTCCCTAGGTCAATGATAAGAAGGTGGGAGTCTTGAGAGGAGTAGCAGCCATCCGAGGTGAAGCAGAATAAAAACCAGTCTGGAGAGGTGTCCCTAGGGTCAGTGGTGATTGCTAAGGAGAGCAGTATATGTGGGATAGAGACTATAATCTCAAGCACTAGAGCTGGAGAAGCTAAAATAGAATGAGTTCAAGGCTGCCCTCACCTACATGACAAGTGTCTTAAAAGTTCAAAAAATATCAGCCAGATATGGTGGCATTCAGCCATAATCTCAGCATTCCAGAGGTTGAAGCTGAAGGACCATGAGTTTGAGGCCAGCTTCAAACTTGCCTCAAGCAAAACCACACTTTAAAAATAAATTAACTAAAAAAAAATACCTAAGAAAGTGCCAAGGAGGTGAAAGATAGAGATCTCCCTCAGGTTTGAGGTGTTCTGGTCTATGGACAGATAAGGTACCCAGCACCCTCACCTAAGAGTAGGAGTTAGTAGTGTCTGACTCAATCATAACAGGAACTGAAGACCTTTGAAGAAGCTACAGACCCAACGCCCAAAAACACATGCAAGGGCATGTTCTTGTAACAGACGGTCTGCTGAACAGGAAGGCCTTGGCCTCTCTGCCCTGATCTTTAAAACATTTTAAGATGGTCTGCTGAACAGGAAGGCCTTGGCCTCTCTGCCCTGATCTTTAAAACACATTGGAATTATAGGAAAAGATCCAGTAACTGGGTCTCTGCCTATCCCCTGCTGATGAAACCTGCTGTGGGACAGGCATGTCCTGGAGCTTTTTCATCAGCTTCCAAGTACAAATAGGTCACACACACACTCACACACACACACACACACACACACACACACAGAGAGAGAGAGAGAGAGAGAGAGAGAGAGAGAGAGAGAGAATGAGTGAATGAATCTGCTAGAGTGAAGACCCCGGTGACAGGCAAGTAAAGGCACATAATGGAATGACAAGACTACAGCCCAAGATAGCGACCCCATCTTAGGAAGGGGCCTACTGAGGGCAAAGGGCAGTCACAGAGTATAGGGTTAACTACTGGGGAAGAGCAGCATGACCTGATGGCCAACAGGACAGAGGGCAACAATAGGTGCCACTGGCTTCTCAGCAGTAGTCACCAAACTGGAGAATTCAGTGTAAACCCAGAGTTCCAGGGCATTAATCAGACTTGGGGCACACCCCATCTCCCTTTCTTCACCCAGAAGACTTCAGTCAAAGCTTCTGGCTGGTCCACCACTACAGTAATAGGGAAGTAATTGGTGGGTGGCAACTGAATTCACCCCTTAGACCAAAAGAGTAAACATTAAGTATACTGCAAGAGGGCATCAGGCTGCCCTAGTAACTAGATTACCACTTACAGCATGGGGCATTGAGCTTCAGGTCACCATTTAAGAGAAATACTTACAGTTAGGATAAGTTTTCTTTGTATACAAGTTCCTGGTCTGTAATTTGCACCATGTAAAGGAGAGATATCTAGATTGGCCAGTGTACACTTCTGGGCTCTAATGATCTTACTTACATAGCATCCTCTCCCAGCTGGGGCCTCAGACAGACAGAAAACCAGCCTGAGCTGGGGTCCTAACATGGTTTCCTGTGGCTACAGAACTTCTGGAGGTTCATATTCCGGAAGAGCCTGCTGTCTACCTCCCTCTGTCAAATGGATTTTGCTGTCCTAGGCCTTGGGGACTCCTCATATGCCAAGTGAGTAGGGGTGGACGTGCTGGCCAGATAGGGATCGTTCTCAAGATCAAGCAAGAAATTAGACAGGCAGGCTGGAGAGATGGCTCAGAGGTTAAGAGCACTGGCTGCTCTTCCAGAAGTCCTGAGTTCAATTCCCAGCAACCACATGGTGGTGCCCTCTTCTGGTGTGCAGATATACATGGAAGCAGAATGTTGTATACATAATAAATAAATAAAATCTTTAAAAAAAAAAAAAGAAATTATACAGGTAACTGAGCCCTCAAGTGCCCATCCACTGTAGACCATGTGTCCCTGCACTGTTAGCTGATCAATCTTATCCACAGATAGTCCCTGGTAGGCACCCTACTTCTTGTAAGGCCTTGGCACAGTGGAGACCATAGTCCGGGAAGGAACAGGGCGGAAGAGTACCACCAGAGACGGAATTCAGGGCGTGAGGAGGCTGAGACCAGCCAGCATTACATTACAACACATGATGAAGTTCAGCAACACCTGATCTGTGAAGTATTGACAACTTGAAAAGACAGCTTACCTTCAAGTGACTTGTCAGACATGGAGACAGCTCATGAGTTTTCTCTTTCAGGGTTTTTGTGGATAGCTGTGTCTCTTAACAAGCAATGCTCTTTGCATCATTTATTTCATGTGGTGATAATGAGGGATTTCTGCTCAGAGGTGCAACTAGATCTCTAATACCTAAGACAAACAGCACTTTGAACATTTCCTGTTTTCATAGGGCCCAGGATCCAGCATTTATGAGCACCATAAAAAGTTGTGTATTTGGCAGGGTTCTTTTTTTTTTTTTTTTTTTTTTTTACACTGGTGTTTTGCCATGG